GGGGAAACACCAGGATAAGGCAGAGAAACACCAGGATGAGGTGGAGAAATGGGGAGGTGGGGATGGTGAGGCACTGAAATTGGGGTTGGAAAACACCGGGATGGGGCAGAAAACACCAGGATGAGGTGGGAAACAGCGGGATGAGGTGGACAAACAGCAGGGTGGTGTGGGAGACAACGTGGAATACGTGCAGTGGAAACATCAATCCTAGAGGAGAGACAGTTGCAGCCCGGGAGAGCTCCTGGAGTCAGCTCAGCGAAGCCTCGTATTGCGAAATCATTGTTCCGCGTTATCTTATATTGTGTAATCTCTCTCCCCTGTTATCCCATGCTGCCTACACTGGAATGCAGTTCCTGTTCTGCCCCCAGAGCGGGGTCCCGCCTCTATCCTAACCCCGTTGGCTGTTTCCCCTGCCTTTCCCCGGTTCCTGGGTTCTTACTGGGTATTACCTCTCCGCCTTTGTCATTGGCTGGTAAGGCAGCCAAGCCCCTCCCTTCCTCCCAGAATCCTTATATGCTGCGGGAAACTTGAATACACTCTCTTTGCCTGCCTGCCTGCCTGCGTGCTGTGTGTTCCTTGCTGCGTCTTGCGCCTGAGCTCACAGTGCTGCAACTCCATCCCGGTTGGGTGGATAGCAGAGAGCATTTCCCTCTCAATCCTGTCAAATGGCGCCCAACGTGATCTCAAGCTCCGCCTGCATTTCTACCGTGTAGAAATTCTTTCGGACGCCTCTGGGCTCAAGCGACGAAGTGGAATTTTGGCTTCCCGCTCGGACGGATTCTACAACTCAGCTTCGGATTTCGACCTGCCTAGATTTTGAGGTAGGCCAGCAGTTGTATAGTTCCTTCAACCCTACTACCTCGCTTTTATATAATGGGTTTACTACCCTCAAAAAGACAGCAGGATACCTATAAGCGTTTGAAGAACTTTATCTACCTTCATGGACATACATTGGATAAACAGTCATTAAAAGCTCTAATTAAGTGGATTTCCAAGAATAATCATGCTGTTCCCTGTACACTCACCTATGAACAATGGGACAAGTTGGGACTTAAATTATGGAAAGCTACACAGGCTAATGACACTCTTGCGTCCCAAGCCTCTATCGCCTGGCGTTTGATTTTAACTTTGTTGGAAAAAAACGAAAATATAAACTCTGGGGTGGGGGAGCGGGAGGTAGAACAGGGTTGCGGTCGATGCGCGCGTATGGCGTCGGGAACAGCTGTAGGGGGGAAAACTCTACCCTCTGCGCCGCCATCTAACCCAGGGCATGCCGTGGCATGTTCGCCCCCCCAGCTCTGCAATGGCCCCAGCCGCATGGCCACCCCGCCCCCTCCCCCTTCCCCACACACGAACAGCAGCCAGCACCAGCCCATGCCCCAGGGCTGGGTGGCTCCCCCTGACCCCACAAGGGTGACCTCAGCTTTCTTAGCTGCATCTCAGACTGCTGGCGATTACTCTGCCATGCAGCCGGGTGGCGCTGTCCTGCCCTCAATACCATCGAGTTCTTCCGGTCCTTGGGGGGACAGACCACCACCTCAAGCCCCGCCCACGTCCGGTCTTCCGGAAGTGAGGGCCTCTCAAAATGGCCACGCCCAGGTACCCATTCTACCCGAGCCATGTGCTCTAGCCATTCAAGGTTGCTACCCCTTAAATCAGGAAGCAGACGCAAATGATTGCTATTTCAATGAGGCATACCCTGTTTATCGCCGCAATAACCGTCCTCCCCACTGGAGCCCATTGCCTCTGCCACTCCTTAAAGATACAAAAAAGGCAATAAGCGATTACGGCCTCAGTTCACCCTATACTCTAGAAATTCTGAGGTCATTATTTGCAGCTTACAACCTGACTCCGAATGATATAAGAACATTATCAGACGCATTTTTTACGAAAATGCAAAACACTCTTTTTCTACAAGAGTGGAAAACATTAATACGCAAACATGCAGAACAAATATTCCCCACCACTGGTACCCCAATTGATAATACCATTGACAGGATGTTTGGCACTGGGCCATTTTCGTCTAATGACGCCCAAGCCACAATCCCTTTAAATGATTTGCAGAAATCTAAGTCCCTAGCTTTTGAGGCAATTCGCAGTATTGCAGAAGCCTCTGAGGTCACTGAATCCTATACACAGATCCGTCAAAAACCGACGGAGCCTTTTATGGACTTTGCCGAGAGACTGAAGGATGCTCTCACAAAACAATTTAAAATCCCAGAGGCTCAGGATTCCCTGTTTCAAAAATTGGCCATAGAACAAGCAAATGAGGATTGTCAACGTATTTTAAGGACACTAAAAGACCCTACCCCCATGGATATGGTTAAAGCTTGCCGAGATGTGATACCCACCACCCCCGATAATCCACCACAAGCCGAAGCAATGGCTGCACAACACTACCGAACTGTTAACACTTGCAACCACTGCAAAAAGCCGGGTCACTTTAAAAGGGACTGCCCTCACCTGAACAGAGCCCCTACAATGCCACCCAGCTTATGTCCCCGGTGCAGAAAGGGGTTACACTGGGCAGTTGATTGTAGATCGCATTATGACAGAGAGGGGAAACCACTCTCACCCAGGCTCCCACAAAAGCTGACCCCAGTTCCGGGAAACGAGGAACTGAGCGCTTAGGGGAGCGCTATGACATAAATTGCCCCTCACCCCAGCCAAAACCATCGGCTCCCCCCATTCTGGCACACTCACACTCGGCAAGTGTCTCCAGGGTGGAACTAGCACCTCCCCACCCAATCACCATACACAGTGATGATTACCAACAAATTCTTGTAAAACCAACTGGTAATTCACCAGTGCCTCCTGGACAATACATCCTAACTGGAACTACTACCTCAACTGAAACAGGTATAACGGTATTACCTCAATCAGTAACAACAGACAATCCCAAGGTAATAGAGGTGACTGTGAAAGCTTTGTTTCCACCTGTGGACCTTGACACAGACACACCTATTGCAAATCTAACCCCCATCGAGACAGGGGAAAACAACTTAGACTCCATGCCTATGGTTCAATGGACACAAGCTATTTTGCTTGATCAGGCAATGCTAACCTGTTCTGTGTTTCTTCCCAACTCTAACCAGTGTATTCCAGTTAAAGGTCTCATAGATACAGGAGCAGATGTCACCATCTTCGCAGAAAAAAAACTGGCCAAAGGAATGGAGGGCCACCAAGCCCTATATTGACATCAAAGGGGTAGGAGGAGCTCAAACACCACTTCAAAGTACCTTCACTTTACTAATTGAAGGGCCAGAAGGTAAAACTGCTTCAACAAGGCCCTATGTCCTTAATATTCCAATGACCCTTTGGGGGAGGGATATAATAGGTAACTGGAACATCCATCTCACCACCTCAAATTTAGTCTTGAGGCCACTGGAGAGCCGCAGTCCCCTGCCCTTACATGGCTCTCAGACGAGCCCATCTGGGTATCCCAGTGGCCTCTAAAAGGGGAAAAACTGCGGCAAATTAAACTGTTAGTCCAACTATGTTGCCCTCCAATTGGCCTATTGTTATTATTGATATCAAGGACTGTTTTTTTTTTAACATCAGGTTAAACCCTAAAGACTCTCGCAGGTTTGCATTTACAGTGCCTTCAACTAATGCAGAAGAACCTTCTCATCGCTGCTGCTGGGCGGTCTTACCTCAGGTCAAATGTCTTCAGGGTTTGGTGATGCACAATGTTTCTCAAGTCTATGTTTCTTTACTAAATAAAAACGGAGGAACTGTGGGAGACAACGTGGAATACGTGCAGTGGAAACATCAATCCTAGAGGAGAGACAGTTGCAGCCCGGGAGAGCTCCTGGAGTCAGCTCAGCGAAGCCTCGTATTGCGAAATCATTGTTCCGCGTTATCTTATATTGTGTAATCTCCCTCCCCTGTTATCCCATGCTGCCTACACTGGAATGCAGTTCCTGTTCTGCCCCCAGAGCAGGGTCCCGCCTCTATCCTAACCCCGTTGGCTGTTTCCCCTGCCTTTCCCCGGTTCCTGGGTTCTTACTGGGTATTACCTCTCCGCCTTTGTCATTGGCTGGTAAGGCAGCCAAGCCCCTCCCTTCCTCCCAGAATCCTTATATGCTGCGGGAAACTTGAATACACTCTCTTTGCCTGCCTGCCTGCATGCCGTGTGTTCCTTGCTGCGTCTTGCGCCTGAGCTCACAGTGCTGCAACTCCATCCCGGTTGGGTGGATAGCAGAGAGCATTTCCCTCTCAATCCTGTCAGGGTGGGACAGTGAGGCACTGAAATTGGGGTTGGAAAACCCTGGGACGGGGCAAATCCCGCCGAGCCACTGAAATTAAAGTTGGAAAACACCGGGATGAGGCAAACCCCACCCAGCCGAGGCAGGACACCCCCAAATCCTTGGAAGAAGGAGGTCCCGATGCCCTGAGCTCCTCCCCAGGGGCTCTGAGCGCTCCCTCAGCTACAGGGAGAAGAAATCCAGCCCCGCATGTCCGTAGGGGTCGCAGGTCCAGACGGCTCCGGCTCTCCCGGAGCTCTCCAGGAGCCGCTCCAGCTCCGTGCCCAGCGCTCCCAAACATTCCCTGTCCAGATGCTCCTCCGAGGCCTGGCCAGGATCCGTCCCTTGCCCGTAGCAATCCGTGGGGATGGGATACACCACCAGGCTCAGCTCCGGCAGCGCCGCCGTCTCCCGCACCAGAGCGCCCAGCCCGGCCCTGGACACGGAATTCCCAAAGAGCCCCAGCGAGCGCAGGCGGGAGCAGCGGCGCAGCGAGGCCAGCAGGGATTCCAGCTGGGAGTCTCCCAGGCGGCATTCCATGAGGTCCAGGTGGAGCAGGGAGGGCGAGGCCTCCTCCAGGAGCTGCCGGAGGGGCCGCAGGAGGCCCCGGGAGAAGTCGTGGCCGCTCAGGTCGAGCCTCTTCAGGGCCGGCGCGTGGGGGCTCCGGCACAGGAAGGAGAGGTCGGAAGGCAGGAGGGAGCAGAAGGCCAATTCCAGGCTTTCCAGAGGGGTCTGGAGTTCGCTGCCGGGGTAGGAAAAGGGAGAGAGTGTGAGCCCTGGGGCATTATGGAACGCTGGGAAAGCGGGAAAGGTCGGGATTGGAACCCAAACTTCCCGCGGGGTGGAAAAGAGCCACAACTCCCTTCGTAGGGGGAATTTGGGGATCACCGAGGTTGGAAAAGAGCTCCAGGAACTGGAATTCAACCCTTGAGAAAGGTGGGATTGTGGAGCCTTGGGGAGAGCAGGGAGCCTTGGAATTGTGGGGTCACAGAGCCATGGGATTCATGGAGCTATGAGGTCATGGAATCACGGGGTCACAGGATTGTGGGATTGTGGGAGCCTTGAGAGCGTGGATTTGGTGCACCATGGAATCACAGGGTTATGGGATTCTGGAGTCATGGAATCATGGGATGATGGGATTCTGGAGCCATGGAGCCAGCCGGGAGTACGTGGCGATGCTCCAGGACATGGCGTGGGCTGCCCTCTGGAAACAGGGAAATCTGGGAATTCTGGGGATCACAGGGCCAAGGAGGAATTAAAGTTGGAAAAGGCCTTCCAGACGGTTCAAGTTCAACCCTTGAGAATCCCGGAGTGGAGGAATTATGGGATCGTGGTGCCGTGAAATCACAGAATTGCGGGATAACGGTGCCGTGAAATCACAGAATTGTGGGATAACAGTGCCGTGAAATCACAGAATTGCGGGATAACAGAATCATGGCAAGGGAGGGGCACTTACCAGAGGACGTCTCCCAAACTCCCGGAGAGCCTGGAGGATCCCAGGTTGAGCTCCCTGAGGCCCTGCAGCTTTCCCAGCTCCGTGGCCAAGCACCGAATTCCCGGCGCCGCCTCCCGCCGCACATCCACGTTGCTGTAGGGCAGCCGGAGGCTCCAGAGCTCCGGGAAGCGGGCGAGGCACGGCAGGACCGCAGAGAGGCCCTGCAGGCCCAGGTTGTTGAAGCGGAGCTCCACCCTCCGCAGCCCGGAGGGCTCCAGGGATTCCAGGAGGTTCACGATCCCAGCCGGGCTCAGCTCCTCGGCCTGGAGCTCCCGGCACCGGAGGCGCAGCGGGGCGGAATTCCCGACCCGGAGCGCATCCCACACCACCCCGAAGGAGGTGGCGCTGACGAACAGGTCGGCGCGGACGTCGATGGACGGAGGGGCCGCGTTCCCAAATCCGGCCCTTTGGAGCTCCCTTTGGAGCTTGGAGAGCTCCAGGCAGGCCTTGGCCAAGGCCACGGTGCCCGACCAGACGCTCATCCCCGCCGGGGCGCGGCCGACATCGTCGTCCCGGAGCCCCGTCACGTCCAGCACGCGGAGCCGGCACCGGCTGGGCCGGGAAA